TAGTCTGAATATGTTTCTATAAATTCCATTGAACAAGGCATTTAATTCTTTGGAGTTACCCAGGGCTAACTCATCTTCTACTTTGCTCTATTCTTCCTCAGGTTTCAGACTGGTCGTCCCATCTTTCCCAGTTATGGTGGGATGGTTCCATCCTTTGTCAGCAGCTCTCCAAGCCTTTTTGTCCAGTGACTTCAAGAAGGCAATCATACGAGGTTTCCAGTAGTCATAATTTGATCCATCCATAGTAGGTGGTCTGTTCCCAAATTCTCCTTCCTTGTCCATAACGCCAGAAAATAATATCCCTAGATCTCACCCAGTAAGACAGGCAGGGTGCCTGCTCTGATGCCAATTGAAATTCTGGAAACAGATACTTAATGTCACAGTAAATGTTATGACACCGTATCTGACACACTTCAAGACAGTAATTCAAAAACAGTAAAGAACATAATCAATTGTTAACCCAGTTCAGTGTGTAACAACACCTACTCTGGGGGATACCAAGCCAGGGAGGAAATTCAATATAAGAGATATTAATTCAGGAATAAACCAACCAGTTTATCTCCTTCACTTAAGATCTACCCAATGCAACTTCAATCTAAGTTCAACTTAAACCTGAGTTCCTACTCACTCCCCCTCAATCACAGCCGTGATACTAAACTATTGATTAATGAGATTATGAAGACACTCTTCAGTACACACACTTGATTTTGCTTCACAGCTTTAATCAAGTGAAAAACACTCGTGCTTCAAAGCTTTGAGTGATAAACAACCCTAACTTGATTTTGCTTCGAAGCTTTAATCAAGTAACACAAACACTCGTGCTTCAAAGCTTTGAGTGATACACAACCCTTACAATCAAATCCTACTCCAAGTCACTTATCACAATGATAATTGCTTGGCTCACAGTAGTTACAGCTATACAATCCCTTATTGATCTTCTGTCAAAAAGTGTCTTTCACCATTAATCTTCATGAGGAATATATAGACCGACTATTCTTCAGTTAGGGCTTCCATGAAAATAGCTAGGGTTAACTAAAGTTAACCTAAAGACTTGGTCTTAGGCTTTCATCATACCAGATTAGGGTTAAGCAAGGTTAACCTAATGTCCACGTGAACATCTGATCTGGACTGTAAACACCAACTCAGAGAAGCATATCAGATTCCTGAAAAATCTCAGGAATAACAAATATGCACAAATGTTAGATCAGTACAGGATGTCTTAACATTGGTTATGACAACAAGAATCCTGTTCACAAGAATCCTGTTTACTGATTTTGGTAGAATGCAATGAATATGATCATTGCTTAATGATCATGCTAAACACTCATATTGAGTAGCTCCTGTATGACATTCTTTTTCTGCAGAATGTACCTTTATCCCAGAATGTTATGACATCAGTCATGACATTCACAAAACTGCTTTTACCAAAAAAAATGCCAACAAACAAACACTTACAAATATTTTCATACACCGTATATTGTATGAGTTACAAACATAATAACAACAAATATATTAAAATATTTATGAGTTACAAATTAAATATTAGTGTGTATGAGTTAGATATAGAGCGTGTAACTTTACTATTACATATTTGATGTCAAAATTAGAAAAATTTAACATTTATGTATATTAGACGGTATTTCTGTATCATTTGATTCACCACTGCATTAGAGGTCTTATGAAGCATTTAAAACAAGTTTAAAATTGATCTAAATCATGAAAAATTAGTTTCTGCACAAAAAATAATATTTTTGCTTTAAAACTACAGTACATGCGCCGACCTGAAAATCCTATGAGCCGACCTATGTACAAAGCCTGCAGTACATTAGTATTTTTTCTTTAAAACTGCAGTATATGAGCCGGCGTGAAAATTCTATGAGCCAACACATGCACTGCATTATTAAAGCATGTAGCTATTGTTTTATATGTGTTGACTCATAACTTTTTCAGGCCGACTCAGACTGTTTTGTGGGTCATTTTTGCATTTTTTTTCATTCTGAAACTTCCATCTTTTGCCTAAAAGATTTCCAACTATAAATATATCATTTATGCATCATTCCAACTTGATGATACCATAACTTCAACCTCCAACCTATGCAAACAAACTAACAAACCATTGTAACGATCTTTTGTTGGGCTGCCATCTAGACGATGTTCAATAACATCCAATTAGGTTCTTGTGTAGCCGAGAATATTGGCTTGAGATTTGCAGGGGTCTTCATCTGAAAAAATTGTGCGTTTATCCTCCAAGATCATTGATTGATTTGAGAGTTTTCGTGCAAGACATTAGAAAGAGGATTGCGGCCAAGTGAAGTCCTTTGAAGATAAAGAACGCAAAGGAAGTAGCAAGAGAATGACGAATCAAATTGAAGTCTTGTGTTGTAATAGATGCAATTGATGGCGCGCGAAAGCTTTGGAGATAAAGTACACAAAGGAGTAGCAAGATCCAGATAATCAATTGACAGTTATTTTGTCTTGGTCTTGTTGAAGATAAATAGAAGAGAAGGAGTTGAATCAACATCAAACAATTATGGTTTGTAGGGTTGCTCTTGAACACTTCTCTTGTAATCATACTTTTTGCAAAGTAAGAAAGTATCCTAATTCCACATTGGAATTGGGCGCAGACGTACCCACATGCGAGGATAAAAGTGGAGAATTGTGTAAACAAATCCTTGTGTCTCTTTTCTTTTATTATTTTACTTGCTTTAATTTTCATATATCAATTTGTCAAATAACATTGAGTAATCTATGGATGCGTAGGAATTTTTCGAGACTGTTTTTGTTTTTAATTGTGTGTTGAGTTGCTTATAATCACTTTTGATTATAAGTGCTTTTTATATCAACATAACACAAAGGAAAATTCTGAAACTTTGATTGCACACCAAGTGTTTGAAAAATTGTTTAGTTTGTTCAACTCAAAGGAAAATTACAATGTTCTATCTCTTACTCTCATTTACTCTCTATATGTAATTTGTTGAATGTGTTGTTTAATCAATCGATTCATATAGAATTTCTCTTTGATTGTCAAAGTTTAAATTGCTTTGTTGATTAACTTATAATAACTTTGATTGTAAGTGCTTTTTCATATTAACAAAGTTAAAAGGAAATTTTGAAAAATTGATTGCGCGCTACATGTTCGACAAATTGTCTAATTATGTTGTAATATGATTTCATTAGAAATAGAAAACCGCTGCGTTTGACATTAAACTAATAATTGAAATATTACTATGTTGATTGATTTTATCATTATTTTAATTCTATATGACTTATACATTATTTTTCAAATAAATTTTTAAATAACCATTTTAAAAGATAATTTTTAATTGAAGATCTATTCACCCTTTAAATAGTTCGACGTTATTTAACAAGTTTGTATAAATATTAGTTTTGAAATTTATTTGATATACTAATAACTATATATAACTATATATAATTATATCAGTATGTATGTTGTAAATAATGTTCAGAATGTCAAATTAATTTTAATTTATTTATTCAAATATATGTTATATATTATAAATTATTTTCAATTTATTATTACATAGTAAATATTAATTTTAGATTACTTACCCAAATATATACAATATATTTAAAATCAATTTTAGTTTATTACAATATATTAGAAATTAATTTCAATTAGTTCTCAAAATATATAAAAATCGTGTGATAAGTTAATAATTAAATTAGCATAGCTCGATGGAATGGGCTCAGATATTGGGAGTCGAAGAACATGAGTTTAAGTCTCATGTTATTCAAATATTCGGAGGATGAAATTCAAATAATAAATAATAATAAGATAATAAATAACGCTTTATGAAATTTAAATAATAAATAACTGAATTTCAAAAGGGTCAAAATAATTGAATTTCATTCATTTTTTTATGTTTGGGTTTTTCAAAAGTCGTCCAATTGACCGGGAATATAATATCTATGAATCTTTTTTTTTTATATTTATTTTTTTAAATTGAAATCTTATAATATAAATTACGTTATTGAATATAAAAATATAGTTAATATCACAATTTAAAAAAAAAATTTAAAAAAATAACTTCTATGAAAATCTATTTAAAATAATTTTAAATTAAATAATTTTTTTAAAATTTTAATATCTTAAAAATATTTCAATAAGATGGTGAAATATCTAAAATAACATTTTAAAAATAATTATTTAAACTAATTTTTCATTTAAAACTTTCACGAAAATTTCTTTATATATTTTTTTTATATAAAATTATATAACACTATAAAAATTATTTTAAAAAACGTCAAAAGAAACAGACTTTAAAGATTATATGCAAAATCATCTTTCTAAAAAAAATAATTTGATTTATAAGTTGTGTTAAAAATAATATGAAAAAAAGTTCGATTATTTTCTTGTTATAACCGTTTCAATGCTGTTATATTTAACTGACCCTATTGCTTTAGTGTAACTCTCACTATCTTAGAAACGGTTTAAGTTCAACTTGTAAACTTTGTTATTCATAAACCCAATTCATACACAGTTGAAAGTTTCAGTTTCTAAACTCCCCCATCGCATCTCTCTCTTCCGGATTGCTGAATCAAGCAATAAAGAAAGGTACTTTCCTTTTATTCTTTATCTTTCTTTTTATTCTTTCTTTCTTCTACTCTTCTTTTTTATCGCTTCTTGCTTTTAACTTTCGATTATCTTTTTTATTGCTTCTTGATATGTGTTAATCAACTTTGGAAGCTGCAACTTTGTGAAACTGAGAGTGATTTTGTTGTAGGGAGTATTGCTTTTATTTTTCTCCTGTTTTCCTGTGCCCATAATACACATTCTCTCATTCAAATTCTCATCTTTGTTTCACATTTCCTTCTTTCTGTGCTGTATTCATTTGATTGATTTAGATTTTGATGCTTTCACATGCAATGGAGTCTTTGTGCTTATAACTATTGATTCAACAAAAATAGTGCAATTTCTAATTGTGTAACCGTTTGGCTTATTTTGCCAATCACCTTTTTATGCAGAATTTGATTTTAAAATGGTGACATCTACGAAAGGTGACAATGGAGAGTCAAAGAAAAAGAAGATAGATGGGAACAAGGATGTGGATCCTCAGCTATGGCATGCTGTTGCTGGAACAACTGTGCAAATTCCACAAGTTAACTCTAAGATCTTCTACTTCCCTCAGGGTCATGCCGAGCATGCATATGAACCTGTCAACTTTCCCGCTGACATCAACATTCCATCCAAAATTCCATGTAGAGTTGCAGCTGTTCATTATAGGGCTGATCCTCGCACGGATTTAGTGTATGCAAAACTAAGGCTCGTTCCTCTGCAAATTAGCCAAGTTAGTATTGATGAAGACAATGTTGCTGGCGTCGATGACATGTCTGTAACTAAGAATCAATATCAATCTTATACGAAAACCTTGTCAGAATCTGATATAAACAAGAGTGGTGGATTCTCTTGTCCTAAGAAGTGTGCAGAAACAATGTTTCCTCCATTAGACTATTCAGATCAGCTTCCTTCTCAGGACATATATCTCATGGATGTGCATGGCGAAATGTGGAAATTCAGACATGTTTATGCGACGCGGAATATATTAACAACTGGGTGGAGTGATTTTGTAACCAACAAACAACTTGAATTGGGGGATTCACTTGTGTTTGTGAAAGCTGCAAACAGTGATCTTCATATTGGAATTCGAAGGTCTAAAAAACGAAATGACTGTAGATTTAACTTTCCATCAAAGAGGAAACCTGAAACTGGAACTCTTCTTCAACCACCATACGGAGGACTTAGCTCGTCTTTAGGGAATGAACGAAGAATAGGCGATAAGGTGATAGGAATTGGAAAAGTGAAGGCTGAAGATGTTATTGAAGCAGTAAAACTTGGTGTCAATATGCAACCGTTTGATGTGGTTTACTATCCACGGGTTGGTACTCCCGAGTTTTTTGTGAAAACCTCTTTAATTAGAACAGCACTTCAGATTGGGTGGGATTGTGGAATGAGGTTCCAGATGGCCATTGAAACGGACTCGTCAAAGATAAATTGGTTAATGGGAACAATTGCTTCAGTTGAGGCTGCTGATCCAGCATGGCCTGACTCTCTTTGGAGACTTCTGCAGGTATACACATGTTTATTATTACATCCTCCTTTTGAATTCAGTGAAAAGAAAATATAACTAATTACATTTTCAACATTGTTTCAGCATTGAATAATCTTTTGATATCATACTTTTTAGGTTACATGGGATAATCCTGATTTAGTTACAAATACGAAGAGGCTGAATCCCTGGCAAGTTGAAACATTACGGTACATGTCATCAAGTAAGGAACTGGGATTGCCTCAACTCCCAACTTTTCCCATGGATGGCCAATTTTCAATGCCATATTTACCAAACTACTTTCAAACACCAAAGGGTCCAATTATGTATTTACCAGAAACTAGTATGCCTTATTTCCAACAACCATTTAATCGCGATGATGCTACAACATTGACAACAGTCTCTAATAACCCGGTATTGCAAATGGCAAGCGCCAGTGAGAATGTTTCGTGCTCTACACAGCCATCAGAGACACTGGATCATGCGAAGCCGGAAGAGTTTCTGCCTTTTAACCAAACAATACAAATTGACTCGGGAAATGAAAATGCTGAGAAAAGAATCACTAATTATTCTTCTGATCTTCTACAAGGCCTGCCGAAAGGTTCCTCTGGTGAGAGGCTGGAGTGTAATCCCGAGAACCAATGCAAAAAAAGATGCTTCGGAAGGAGAAACAGTGGAGATTGAAAATTCAGGTAAGAATTAGAAATGAATAAAATGTAATATCCTTTTATGCATTGCAAAAGTGATAATAATATTTTAGAAATTGATATATGATAATAATAATTTTGATGCTGTTTCAGTGAGTTCATCAAAAGAGGCAGCGTGACAATTGTATTAGCAATGGAAGGAAGAAGTATGATTTGCATTGAAAAAGAAGTCTGATGTTGTAATTTGACAATCCAAAATTTTATTGAGAATATCTGTGAGTGGATCCTATAGCCATAATTTGCTATAAACATGATTGGTTTATAAGAAGTGGTTTATTTCAATTCTGTTTCATCTTGCGTTAGTGCATTATAATGCTGAAATTTTATATTTAAATAGTCTCAGTCATCAACTTATAGCATGTTTGGATCCGCGGTGAAAAATGCCAAACGTGCGTTTTGGTACAGAAGCTACAAAGTGTAGCTTCTTGTTTTCACGGCAAAATGGCTTGTAGACGTGCGTTTGATGAGTGGAGAAGCTATTCCAAACATGCCATTAGATGTTCAGTTCTGTTTTTTGTCTTACTAAACTTTCTTACTTAATCTGAAAAAGTGAAAAGTGGAAGAAAGAAAGGGAAAAACAGATTAAGTTTAATGAAAAAAAGACAAGAAACAAAAACACAAGAGTCGAGTAATCATCAATATCACATGTTACACACAGGACAACAGATTCACACACATCATAAGCAAGGATTACTAGAAAATGATATAATAAAGTGCCACATGGAATTTATAACTATGCAAGCCTAGAAGGAGGAAGAAATAGTAAAAATTAATCATGCACATAGTCCAAACTTCCAAACACTGGGAAAAAAATGTTTTTGTAGTATTATGTTTGTAGATAATTTTGTTTATTTTTCTGAAAGAGTAGTATAGTTTCAGTGAAACAAAATAGGTTTTTGTACACTGACAGGGTTGTGGAGCTGACATTAGGAGACATTTTGGCAAAGAAATCATAAGCTTGCTTGAGGGATAAGTCACCCAAGTCAATGGGATTCTAAACTTTCTTGTTCTCAAAATCCTCCAATGGAATGTGATATAAGCTTATAAAGTTCATCAGATTGGTCTATGCCATCTTCAAGTTATCAGAAATTGAACATTTTTTTTTGTTAATTATCAAATCACTAACTTTGGAAGTAAGGGAGATAAGGTTAACTAGAGGAATATTCAATGATTGAGCTAGGATTTGACGACACCTATTATCTATTCAAGAATTTATCTCCTTTCCATTGCCAAGAATCCAACTAGGATTGTTAATGATTGTATTGAATGATTCCTTCAAACCACTGTAAAAGGATGAGAAAATATGATGTGAAATTGTTTTGCCATGACTCAAAACTCTACATGTGTGCAGAGTTCATTAAGTCCTGACAAAGTTTTAAGTTACCAACTTTGTTTATGGTAGGAAGAGACCTAAATAGACCACAGTTTCGTCAATGAAAATTGGTTGTAATTGTTGGTTTCTTACACTCTTTCAATGTCATTTGGCTTGCTAGAAACAATCTTAGATTCAACAACATCACTCCTCATTACAAATCTAGCGTTATTTCCATCATGTCCAATGTTTTCCACTTCGGGAGTCTCACCAAGAAGGTATCTAATTTTGACATCCTTGACTTCACCATCATCAATGCTTTTGGAATAGTTTTGCACTCCCCTTAGTTGACAACTACCACTGAGATTCTTTGGCAAACCCTTCTTCAAGACAGGTACAAATAAAACACTGATAAAAAAACTATTAGGATTCCTTCCAAGACTGCTTGTGGTGGTATCTTCACAAATTCTTCAATGGATTATCTAGGAAATTTTGCAAGTTTCATTGGTGAAGGGTCTGCCCTCCATACTGAGCTTGTTGGAGCCATGATTGCTATTGAGATATCTCATGCCAAAAATGGGAAAAATCCTTGGCTCGAGTTAGATTCTTTGCTAGTATTATTTGGTTCCTTGGCATCTCAAAGTTCGATGGTTTAATTCTATCATTTTTGCAAAGTCTAGGAACTTCACTGTGTCCTACATATAAGGAAGACAATTCTTATGTTTATAAGTTAGCTCCTATTGGCTTAGTAGTTAAGGATTTCACTTTGTTCATCTATATTAACGATAACATCAAAACCCAATTTTTTAGAATAAAGCATAGATTCCATTGCTTTAGGATAAGACCTTAATGAGGGGTCTTGGTTGACGCCCCCTCTTTCTCTTGTGACTCTTTTCTTTTATTGAAATTGGTCTTCGCCTTTGTTTACAAAAATTGTTTTTCTTACTATACTAGCTAAAAAGTATAATGAAGGAGCCTTGTATTTGTATTGTTGTTCGGGATGTTTAGGGTATTAGAACAACATGTAGGGCTTGCTCACGTAGTGAGAAGTTATGTATGTATATTTCTGTGAAAAATTGGATCTTTCTTCAGCTCCATGACCGAGGTATTTATAAAGCTTTTTTATGCTAGATAGGAGGAAGTCAACTCCACTTCCATCACGTTCCCCTTCATTTTCTTCGTGAGGATTAGTTCCTTCCCCACTAATAGGGAGACAATTTTCCACCTCACTTTGATTGTCTCTTTGGAGCAGTATGTGTGACACGTGTGTTGTTACTGAGTTCACTATGCCAAAATTAAATTTAGACAGCGCCACATAGACAATGCTTATGCCCTAAGCGCTGCTATAGGTTTTCAGTAAAAAAAAATTAAAAAATTAGAGTAAGCGCTGCTAAAGGTATACTATAGACAGCGCTTATTATAAGCGCTGCTATAGGCCTTACCATAGACAGCGCTTCCTTTCCCTAAGCGCTGCTATAGGTTTTCAGTAAAAAAAAAAAATTAGAATAAGTGCTGCTAAAGGTTATACTTTAGACAACGCTTACTAAAAGCGTTGCTAAAGGTGTTATTCTAGGAAGCATTGCTAAAGCCTAAAGCGCTGCTAAAGGGTATACCTTAGACAGTGCTTTCCAGAAGCGCTGCTAAAGGGTATACCTTAGACAGCGCTTTCAAGAAGCACTGCTAAAGGCATTACTCTAAAGCGCTGCTAAAGCCTAAAGCGCTGCTAAAGGTAATACCTTTAGCAGCGCTTCTTGAAAGCGCTGTCTAAGGTAATTAAATAGTTTCTAAATCCCCAAATTGGTTATCAGATTTCAAAAACCCCACTTTATACAAACGAAATCCCACACACCCAGAAAACGCTCATGTTCATCTTCTTCTCCAACTCGTCTCCTCCCTCCTCACCGTCCAACTGTGGTTCATGCCAGAAAGCTTCTGATTCGTTGTCTCATTGCAAACTTCAGATTCTCCGGTTATACGAGGGCAAGGGCCAGAGGCACGTGAGGGTCCAGAAAGCTGTTGTTGGGAAACGACTTACAACATCAGGCACACCACCACTCCTCGTGAAGAAGAAGCTTCACAAAATCAGTTTCATCTAAGGTAAAATTTCTTCATCCTTTTTCGGTTTCACTATGGAAGCCTGTTAGTAATAAAACAGTTTCGAGTGGTTTGAATGGTAGGAAACTGAATAGAGATTTTGTTCATTGCTTTGATTTGGTTAATGGATATGAGAATCAAAGAATCCATTCCTTTTCGACTTTAATACACTCTGCCCATGTTGTTTAGTGATTCTAGTAGGTAATTCTATCAAGAATCCATTACAGTTATTTTCACTTTCATTCCCTATAGAGTAGGTCCCTCATGACATCATAATGTCCCACAAACTTTGGAGGATTATAGAAAACCAGATGAACCCACTAAGTATTAATTTAGTTTTGTAGCTACCAAACCAACTCATTCTATGTATTTATGTATTGATAAAGCTGGTAAAATAGTGCACCAATTAATGCTCCTTTTATCTGTTGATTACTTCGCTTGTTCCTCCACGTGTGGCAGTTTAATATGTACCAGAAAAGTAGAAGGAACAATAAAGAAAAAAATTATTTGTATTATGTTGAACTTTAGGCTTCTACCAAAGTGATATCAAGTTCATGTTCTAGAAAATTATCTGTATTGATGTGGAACATATTACCCTAAGAATTTGTAACTAAAGATAACTTTACTTAACTCTACTTTGTCCTGTGATTGCAGTTATAAAGAGATTGGAGCAAGTTTGTCCCATTGAATATAGGAATAAGTGAATGGTAGGAAACTGAATACAAGTAACGTTTGCTCTTCATACTGCGGTACTGACTGTTATTTATTGTTCGAGTTAGTTAGTTCATTACACAATAAATCCCCTTTGACATTTAAATGAGATCTTATGTAAGTGATACAAAGTATGGTAAATTTAATGGGAACGTCTGGATTCGAGAATTTGTCTTTTGCTTTTGATTATAGTATCTGATGTGGATTATTCTAATGGTTCAGTTTTACTGTTTCACCCGCAGAGACACTTGTTTGGATGCGCCCTACAACATCAGGCACACCACCATCTCCTCGTGATAGAGAAACTGATTCAAAAATAGTGTGAGCCTTTACCTAGAAGAATAAGTTTCGCAAAATCGGTTTCATCTAAGGTAAAATTTCTTCATCCTTTTCCGGTTTCACTATGGAAGCCTGTTAGTAATAAAACCGTGAATTGGAATGGTTTTAACTGTAAGAGTTTCGAGTGTTTGAATGGTAGGAAACTGAATAAAGATTGTGTTCATTGCTTTGATTTGGTTAATGGATATGAGAATCAAAGATTTGTTAAGTCTAAGAGTAAGAATGATTTTCTTGTTGATGATGTTTTGTAATTAGGAAATGGTGGGATTAGAATAGGTTTTGATATTGGAATTGGTTCGGGGTCTTTTGCGGCGGTTATGTCTGAGAGGAATGTTACTGTGATTACTAGTACTCTTAATGTTAATGGTCCTTTCAATGAGTTTATCGCGGCGAGAGGACTTTTTCCGGTTTACTTGAGTTTGGATCATAGGTTTCTGTTTGTTCAATCTAGTTTTCAACTTAGTAATAGTAAAAGATAACACAAATCATGAATCTTCGAATGAGTTCACAACTAAGCTAATGTCTCTAAAATTGTAACATTGACGATCATTGATTGAATATGTTATAGGACCACAACATTAACATGAACTAGGCCTCTAAGGTTGGACTACATTCGTGGCTATGCTCCTTTCACTCACACGTTACAATCCTCATTTCTAGAAT